CCTGGGGGCTTTTGAGGACTGTCCTCCATTTCTCTCTCCTGTTTACGCTTACACGTCCCCTCCCCGCCATCCCGATGGGAATGCTCCAGTCCGCCCCGTGCCCGTGTCCTCCCGTTGCCTGCAGGCTGGGATGTCGCACAGGCTCCCAGCAGGCTGGTGCCGTGTGGCTGGGGATCGGAAAGCCAGGATGGGGGTCCCAGCCCGTTCAGGGGGTCCCAGCCCATTTGGGGGGGACATGGCAAGAGCAGACAGCGGCCGGGGAGGTTGTTGGGAGACTGAGGGTTATCCTCAATCCCCTGCTGTAACTCGCCCTCAAGCAAAGGGCTGGCTGGCTGCCCGTGACCTCCTAGGACGAGGGACCTGGTACCAAGGTGGACTCAAGTCCAAGGGAGGTGCAACTGCTCCATCTTTCTCCTCCCTTCCCGGCTTCCCCCAAATGCTGGCTCACGATGGCCGTGGGAAACTCTGGATCCCTGGTTTTGGGGCATTAACACTCCACTTTGCAGCCCGGGGGCTGGCTGGAGCCTTCCCAGGGAGGGCGTCTCGCCGTGCTGGCGTGTCAGGACGTGGGCGCGGTTTCTGCTGTTTTTTAGGTAGCGGTAGGTTTAGATGTAGAGCAGGGCTGGAACAGACGGGGAGCACCTACTCCATCCTCGCTGACGGGCGTCACCGGGGGGGGTTGCTGAGTCTGCTGGAGCCCGGTGAGGTGACCCCTGCTTTGCTCTGCCCTGCGGCACACAGGCACCGGGGCGGGGGGATGGAGAGCGTCTCCCCAGCTGCTCGCCTGCCCTGCTCCAGTAGTTTTTATGGTGAGGTGGTGGTCTCTTCTTGGGAGGGTGGGGGGAAGGACTTTTCATATCTTGACTAGCAATGGGATCTATAAAAAAAAAAACTACTTCAGGAAAACGGCTTTTGTCTGAACGGGGTAAATGCAATAGAGCGCACTGGGCTGCGTGTCTAAGCCTGGGCCTCGGTCCCACTGCCGCGTCGCGGGGGGCTGTTGGCCTTCCCCTGGCACCTCGGTTGTGCCAGGGAAACTGCTGCCCCCCTAATTCTTGTACCTGTCTTGAAGAATCGTGTAGGACCTTTCCCCCCTCGCCCCCAGTTTAATGGTTTGGTGATTTTTCTGCTAGATGTCTAGTGTGTGTAAATACCTCTGTAAATCTTTCCATTTTCTCTCAGTATTCTCCTTGATTATTGTTTACAAAAGTAAGAGGAAAAAAAAAAAAGGAAAAAAAAAAATAGCCAAAGCATCTAATAGGTTACAGACCAGGGAGACAGGATCTTCTCTGTATACTCTGCCTTGCAACTCTGTGTGGGGATATGAGCTCTGTTAACCATCCCTGTCCTAGGCTAAGGCAAATAGCAAATGGCTTAGAGAATCGCTCAGGTTTTCCCCCGGGGCCAGCGTGGTACCGGGATACAAGAAAACAGGGATTTTTATCTGTAAAGGGAAGCCGCGTTGGAGAAGATGGGATTGATTCGCATCTTCTCGTTGCATTTGCCATTGTGGTTCTTCCCCTATCTTGACAATAATTAACTCAATTGCTGCATCACCACCCACCCTGCCCACGCTCGGCTCGCAGGCGCCGGGCACCTATGCATTACGGGACAGCGAATCGCGGGCGGATGAGGCTGCGCACTCAGGGTCCTGCTCTAACACGGGAGCGTTTGAATGTATGCGGAAAAGACGTCCCTCGCGAGAGGGCGTCTCCCCTGGTGCGAAAGCCTTGAGTCACAAGATTTGTCTACGAGGAGACGGAAGAATGTAATCCATGTTTACTGCTAGCAACCAAAGCTTGTTTGTGTCAAACTCTTGAATTTTTATGAAGCGGGTGGGAGGGAGGGAGTAATCGGGGTGGCTGTGTGTGGCTCCGGGGTAACCCCGAGCTGCGCTTTCCAAAGAGATTTCCTGCGGGTGTCCCTGCAGCGAGATCCCCAGTTCCTGTTGCTGCAGGTTTTTCCCCCTCATTTTTTTTTTTTAAATTTGTTTTTGTACCAACTATGTAAAATGTGGTGGTTTGTTTTTTATTTTTTTCTTTTCTGGAAAAAAAAAAATAAATAAAGACCATGGGCAATGGCTGCTGGTGATGTCCTGTGTGCGGTTACTCTTTTTTTTTTTCCCCCTCCCCTGGGGTTGAGAAGCCCAGACCCAAAATAGGTGCTGCCTGGGCAGAGG